TGCCACCTTCACATCAGAACACCCCCATCATATCAGAGCCCACCCCCATCATGTCAGAGGTTTTCCTGTCTTAGCAGAGGTTCCACTTTCACATCGGAAGTCCTCCCATCTTATCAGAGCCCCCCATCATTCAGAGATCTTCCTATCTTATCAGAGGTACCACCTTCACATCAGAGCCCCCCATCATATCAGAGCCCACCCCCATCATTCAGAGATCTTCCTATCTTATCAGAGGTACCACCTTCACATCAGAGCCCCCCCATCATATCAGAGCCCCCCATCATTTCAGAGATCTTCCTATCTTATCAGAGGTGCCACCTTCACATCAGAACACCCCCATCATATCAGAGCCCACCCCCATCATGTCAGAGATCTTCCTATCTTATCAGAGGTGCCACCTTCACATCAGAGCCCCCCATCATTTCAGAGATCTTCCTATCTTATCAGAGGTGCCACCTTCACATCAGAACACCCCCATCTTATCAGAGCCCCCCATCATTTCAGAGGTCTTCCTATCTTAGCAGAGGTGCCACCTTCACATCGGAAGTCTCCCCATCTTATCAGAGCCCCCCATCATGCCAGAGGTCTTCCTATCTTAGCAGAGGTGCCACCTTCACATCAGAAGTCTCCCCATCTTATCAGAGCCCCCCATCATGCCAGAGGTCTTCCTATCTTAGAAGAGGTGCCACCTTAACACCAGAAGTCCCAACCCCCAATAACATCACTAACCCAGTCTCAAAATACCAACCAAATCACTCTTTGTTCCTCCCAAGACCTCCTACTCTCTAGGTCGCTTGTCACCTCCTCCCCACACTCGCCTCCAGGACTTTTCCCAAGTCTCTCCCATCCTATGGAATTCCCTACCCCAATCTATCCAACTATCTCCTACTCTGTCCACTTTTAGGTGATCCCTGAAAACTTCTCTTTTCAGAGGCCTATCCTGTCTCCACCTAAAAACTGTACATGTATTTCCTCCACCAGCGCATCCACCAGTTATTACCTTTTGTATCACTTGACCCTTCCTTAGATTGTAAGCTCTAACCTCTGATCCCTCCTGTATTGTATTGGTACAGTTTGCCCTCACGTTGCAAAGCGTTGCGCAAATATATAAATCCTGAACAATAATGAAAAAATATGTTCAGTTCTAAAACATATCCAATTAAAAAAAAAAAAAAATCTAATTTCTTCATACATTTAGGTCAAAATGTATTCTGCTACGTCTTTGGGGAAAAAATCCCAATAAGTATAGAATATTTGGTTTGTGTGAAAGTTATAATATCTACAAACGATGGTATTTAGATTTGAAAATTGATTAATCCTGATGTATGGACAGCCAATCTCATTAAGACCCTTAAATTGCCAGGACAGTACAATTACCCCCCCCCCCCAAATGCCCCCTTATTGGAAAGTACAAGCTGAGGCATGTAAGAGGCATGGTGAATTTTTTTAAGTTGTCCTTTTTTCGCCAACTTTTTTGAAAATTAAGAACAGTACAGCGTCATCATATAACTTGTCAGTATGGTAAAACAACAAAAAAAAGGTTTTACTCAATTTTAATTGTTTTAACCTTTTTTTCCCCCCACATACTGCCAGCAAGTAGTGTCACCATAGTAACACTATACTACTTCGGGGGGGTTGATCAGCGATTTTTTTTTAATTTGCTGATACAGTGATGATCATTGTACCAGCAATGCTTTGAACGGTCATGAAAGTTTAATTCATGACAGCTGTGATTACTAGTGATCTGTGATTGGCTACAGCTAATCATATGGTACAGGGTGCTGTGATTGGCCCAGTTACCATGTGATAGCTGTGGACCAATCACAGCTCACTAGTACAAGCAGAGCTGTTATGAATGAGATTTATTTCAGGTACTTATATAGCACCGCCAATTTACACAGCGCTTTACATATATATATTGTACATTCACATCAGTCCCTAACCCTCAAGGGGTGCACAATCTAAGGCCCCTAACCCTCAAGGGGCGCACAATCTAAGGTCCCTAACCCTCAAGGGGCGTACAATCTAAGGTCCCTAACCCTCAAGGGGCGTACAATCTAAAGGTCCCTAACTCTCAAGGGGCGTACAATCTAAAGGTCCCTAACTCTCAAGGGGCGTACAATCTAAGGTCCCTAACTCTCAAGGGGCGTACAATCCAAGGTCCCTAACTCTCAAGGGGCGTACAATCTAAGGTCCCTAACCCTCAAGGGGCGCACAATCTAAGGTCCCTAACCCTCAAGGGGCGCACAATCTAAGGTCCCTAACTCACATTCATACATACACATACTAGGGCCAATTTAGACAGGATCCAATTATCCTACCAGCATGTCTTTGGAGGGTGGGAGGAAACTGGAGTACCTGGAGGAAACCCACGCAGGCACAGGGAGAACATGCAAACTCCAAGCAGGTGGTGCCATGGTTGGGACTTAAACCAACGACCCTAGTACGACCAGGCGGAAGCGCTAACCATTTAGCCACTGTGCTGCCCACATGATGAATTCATAACATGATCCCCAGGCCGCTGGAAGCAGGCCGGTACTGTGAGCCACAAGCCGCTGTGTCCCCTAGCCCATGCAAGGACAATGGCGTACACATATACGATTGTGCCTTAGGTATGATCGAACTTATTTCACCTGGAGATTTTGTCCTCTGAGGTTTAGTCGCTGTCCACGAAGCAGACGTCGAAGATGTCAAAGGGTCGAACATTTTCACTTGAAAGCTTTTGTTTGTACTTTTATAGCTGCGTTTGGGGGGGTGTTGTTCGGTTTACCTCGACACCCACAGCAGATCGCACCGATAACGCATGAAACACAGGTTTCCCACAATGTGTTCTGCTGTGAAAGGGCCCTTACTGCTTAGACAAGGGTCACCACAATGGGGAAATAAATACACGTACCATTACTCTTCCATTTTGTCCATATTTATTGACTCTCAAAACTACATTGTAGAAAACAGACCGTTATTATTGTGGTCTTTTCTTTATTACAAGAAACATTTTATAACATACACTGTACACAACAGAAAAAACCTGGAAGGCAATTGTGGCATTTACGGTTTTGAGGACGGTGAGTTAGATGAACATTTTACAGGGACACTGCATAATCCATGACTGCTTGCTCTTCTATGTAACTATTACAATGTACAAAAAGTCTGGAACACATCGGCTGACTGTGCCCTCTGTGACCCTATTAGAGTCTGGAACACGTTGCTTGAGTGCACCTCCTTGACTCTGTGCCACATTGGTTGAGCGCACCTCCTTGACTGTACTAGAGTCTGGATCACATTAGTTGAGGGCAGCCTCCTTGACTGTGGACCACATTGGTTGAGTGCAGACTCCTTGACTGTGGACCACATTGGTTGAGGGCACCTCCTTGACTGTGGACCAGATTGGTTGAGGGCAGACTCCTTAACTGTGGACCATATTGGTTGAGGGCATCTCCTTGACTGTGGACCATATTGGTTGAGGGCATCTCCTTGACTGTGGACCACATTGGTTGAGGGCAGCCTCCTTGACTGTGGACCACTTTGGTTTAGTGCACCTCCTTGACGATGGACCACATTGGTTTAGGGACCTGCTTGACAGTGGACCACATTGGTTGAGGGCAGCCTCCTTGACCATAATAGCCTGGAACACATTGGTTGAGTGTCTTTAACCATAATAGCGTCTGGAACATACAGGTTGAGTGCATCTTCCTTGACCGTAGGAGTCTGGGACACATTGGTTTAGTATGTCTCCTTGGCTGTATTAGTCTGGAACACATTGGTTGAGTGAGCCTCCTTGAGGCTGGACCACATCCGTTAGGTGCACTTTCTTTAACAGTATTTAAGTCTAGAACACACTGGGGTAGATTTGCAAAAACTGGAGCAGCTGTGCATGGTAGCCAGTAAGCTTCTAAAGTCAGTTTGTTCAATTAAGCTTTAGAAAAAAAAAAAAAAAAAAAAAAAAAAAAAACCTGGAAGCCGATTGGATTCCATGCAGAGTTGCACCAGATTTTGCATATTCCAGTTTTAGTAATTAAGGCCCATTGGTTGAGTGCGCTTCCTTGACTGTGGACCACATGGGTTTAGTGCACCTCCTTGACTGTGGACATTGGTTGAGGGCACCTGCTTGACTGTGGACATTGGTTGAGGGCACCTGCTTGACTGTGGACCACATTAGTTGAGGGCACCAGCTTGACTGTGGACCACATTAGTTGAGGGCACCAGCTTGACTGTGGACCACATTAGTTGAGGGCACCAGCTTGACTGTGGACCACATTAGTTGAGGGCACCAGCTTGACTGTGGACCACATTAGTTGAGGGCACCAGCTTGACTGTGGACCACATTAGTTGAGGGCACCAGCTTGACTGTGGACCACATTAGTTGAGGGCACCAGCTTGACTGTGGACCACATTAGTCGAGGGCAGCCTCCTTGACCGTAATAGTATGGAACACATTGGTTCAGTGTATCTTCTTTAACGATAATAGCGTCTGGAACATACTGGTTGAGTGCGTCTTCCTTGACCGTAGGAGTATGGGACATATTGGTTGAGTGCACCTCCTTGGCTGTATTAGTCTGGGACACATTGGTTGAATGCGCCTTTCATGACCATATTAGCGTATGGAACACATGGTTGAGTGCACCTCCTTGGTTATATTAGTCTGGAACACATTGGTTGAGTGCACCTCCTTGGTTGTATTAGTCTGGAACACACTAGTTGAGTGCCCCTTCCTGGACTGTATTAGAATTTGGAACATAATGGTTGAGTGTGCCTCCTTGACTCTGGAGCACATTGGTTGAGTGAACCTTCCATGACCAGAATACAGTGTGGAACACATATTTGTAACACTGATGCGATTTGTACTCCTGAATTTATTATGAAAGTTTCTTATGGTACAAGCCCGCTGTTTGGGCTTACTTGTTTTGTTTTAAAAACATTTTCAAAAACTGAATTGTAAAAAAATAATTTAACAATAAAACAACAGAATAGCAAAACAAAAAGGGAAATAGCAAAAAAACTTAGAGATGTTCGCGCCTCTTGAGGTGTTTTTTTCTCTTCATCTTCCCTGAGCCGTAGATTGTGAAGTCATAGTCTGAGGTGACGTAGGGAACCTCCCCAATAATTCCAGGCTGGGAAACGAGAGAGAAGAGAAATGCTTAGATATGATATTTAAAACTGGCCACTGAGCATCACGAGGGAGGTAATAGAACAGGTCACATCTCCAGGAAAAAAAGACAATTACAGAGGATCTGTCAAAACACCTCAGGGTGAAGCTGGCATTCTTTAAATCCTGAGCAGTTCACTAATCTGACCTCTGGGTTTTGCTGAAGGTTCCCCGCCCTGGAACTAACACAGGGAGGCAGATTGTCCAAAATGCACTTGAGCATTCTCCTATGGAATCCGAAAAACATCACCAACACTCAACACCAACAGAGCCTCCTACTTCCTAAACCTCACTGCTCTGGGACTTTACATACTCATCTGGGGGTGGTCATAGAACTCATCGAGTATGACTTTACTCGGTCACGCCTACGTTTTTTTTTTTTTTTTTTTAGAACATTTTGAGACCCCTGGTCTGGTATACCAGGACGACACAAAAAACAAAAAAAAAAAAAAAAAAAAAGGACCTGCCTACTGTCCTTCAGACAGAGCAGGTTGACCCCAGAAGAGGAGGATTGGGGTTGCTCTGTGCAGTACCATTGCAAAGAGCAGGAAAGTATGAAGTTTATTTTTTTTTTTTAAATTCCTTTAGAATCACTTTACATTTTTTTTTTAATTTTATTTAAATTAATTTTTTACATCGTTTCTGTATATATTTTTTTTTATTCAACTTTCTTGCCATGACAAGGAATGAACAACATCCCTAACTGACTGCAGGGGCAGTAATAGGACCTCTTTATGGAAAGATCTGGGGTCTATTAGACCCTTGACCCCTCCTGTTCTCCAAAGCAGCCAGAAACCAGATTACTGGCCGTTACCGGCCAAAAAAAGCAACCAAAGAATTAAAACCAGAAGTGACAAAATCCCCGTTACTTCTGACTTCATTTGTCAGGGGAAAGGGGGAGTGTGGATGTGCCTCCACCTCTGTCGGCAGCTGGCCCCGACAGGCTGTAGCAGACTCGGGCTTCCTAGAGGAACAGGAGAGATTGGGAACTGCGGCTGTAGAGGCGCTCTGATCACTTTTACATGAATCCCCAAGGCCGGCTGAAAATGTTAATAGGATCATAGTGGCAGCCAAGATCCTGGTGTAACCATTACAGGCAAGTCCTAAGGGCTGGAAGTGGTTAGGCCGGTGCCATGAGCATTGTCCCAGGTTTCCCATTTCACCCTCGATTGAAAGAGACAATACCTGGTTCTTGAAGATGCTGTGGGGTATAGATATGTTTCCAATTTGAAGGCAATTCACCAATCGCAGAGTTGCTGGAGGGATGGGTGTAAGGATGTGATAAACCTTTCTCTCCATGTTAATTCCCCGAATAATACCTAGAGAGACAAGAGCAACTCAATGTAACTGTATGACAATGAAAATACTGCGCTTATGGGGAAAAAAAAATGCCAAAAAAATATATAAAGTGAAAAAACAAAGATCAGCAACAGTACTGAGATTATCACTGCTCGAAAAAAATTTAAAGGAAGACTTTGTAAACAGTGTCTAGCATTAAGTCAATGACACTCCTGGGATATGGATCTGGTCAGGTAAGTCGCAGAGGGGGGCGGTAATCAGTTTCAGCTGCTTTGGTGTTAATGAAATTAACAACAGGTGCACTAGACGGGCAACAATGAGACGACCCCCAAAACAGGAATAATTTTACAGGTGGAGGCCACTGACATATTTTTCCCCACTGATCTTTTCAGTTTTTCACTAGTTTTGCATTTGGCTCGGGTCAGTGTCACTACTGGTAGCATGAGGCCATACCTGGACCCTACAGAGGTTGTACAGGCAGCCCGACTCCTCCAGGATGGCACATCAATACGTGCCATTGCCAGAAGGTTTGCTGTGTCTTCCAGCACAGTCTCAAGAGCATGGAGGAGATTCCAGGAGACAGGCAGTTTCTCTAGGAGGGCTGGACAGGGCCGTAGAAGGTCCCTAACCCATCAGCAGGACCGGTATCTGCTCCTTTGTGCAAGGAGGAATAAGATGAGCACTGCCAGAGCCCTACAAAATGACCTCCAGCAGGCCACTGGTGTGAATGTCTCTGACCAATCAGAAACAGACTTCATGAGGGTGGCCTGAGGGCCCAATGTCCTCTAGTGGGCCCTGTGCTCACTGCCCGCCACCATAGAGCTGGATTGGCATTTGCCATTGAACCCCAGAATTGGCAGGTCCACCACTGGCGCCCTGTGCTTTTCACAGATGAGAGCAGGTTCACCCTGAGCACATGTGACAGACGTGAAAGGGTCTGGAGAAGCCGTGGAGAACGTTCTGCTGCCTGTAACATGGTTCAGCATGACCGTTTTGGTGGTGGGTCAGTGATAGTCTGGGGAGGCATATATCCATGGAGGGACGCACAGACCTCTACAGGCTAGAAAATGGCACCCTGACTGCCATTAGGTATGGGGATGAAATCCTTGGACCCATTGTCAGACCCTGCGCTGGTGCAGTGGGTCCTGGGTTCCTCCTGGTGCAGTGGGCCCTGGGTTCCTCCTGGTGCAGTGGGCCCTGGGTTCCTCCTGGTGCAGTGGGCCCTGGGTTCCTCCTGGTGCAGGACAATGCCCGGCCTTGTGTGGTGAGAGTATGCAGGCAGTTCCTGGAGGATGAAGGAATTGATACCATTGAATGGCCCCCACCCTCTCCTAACCTAAATCCAATAGAACCCCTCTGGGATGTCATGTTTCGGTCCATATGACGCTGCCAGGTTGCACCTCATACTCTTCAGGAGCTCAGTGATGCCCTGGTCCAGATCTGGAAGGAAATCCCCCAGGACACCATCTGTGGTCTCTTTAGGACCCTCCACCTGATGTTGTCAGGCATGCATACAAGTACGTGGGGGCCACACAGACTACTGAGGACCATTCTGAGTTGCTGCAATGAAATTTCACAAAAATGGACTCTCCTGCTGCATCATTTCTTCACTTTGATTTTCGGGGTGTTTTTGAATTCGGTCCTCTGTAGGTCCATCATTTTAATTTCCATCAAACAATGGGACATCCTTACGTTCCTCACCCATCACCCCGTCCATGTCAGTAAAGAGATCCAGCAGGAGATTCCTCCCCATTGAGATCTGATGGGTTTTCAAAGTCTTCCTTTCATTTTTTTGAGCAGTGTACTCCACAGTTCTAAATGATATATAGAAATCTGCACCAATAACCAACTTGTGCCAAAATTCTAAATGGAGTATATATAAAGTTATCAATATACAAACAAACATAAAAGAATGGAATAAAGTCCAAATGTGAAACACCATGAAAAAGTCCTATAGGACTAAAACAAACTCCATGAAACGAAGTGCTGAGACACCAACAACTCCCAGGGGTGATCCCATCACCAAGGGTAATTATGTGCTTACCAAAATGATCTGACCCTCTAGCCAGATGAGGCTAAACAAGCATGTGCATCATGGAGTCCACCGAGCCTCCTTCCACGTCAAGCCTCATACATGGACCAACCACATATGGAAAGGTGCCAGCAATGGATTATTCCATTCAATCTCTTCCCTTCCATGTCACCCAGCTGCCCCTGTACACAGCATGGCAGGTCCTATGAATGTGTGCATCATGGGCTCAGGAAACGGTCATGGAAGGAAAGAACTCTAATAGAATAATCCATTGTGGGGGTCCTTTCCTTATGTGGTTGGTCCATGTATGAGGCTTGACATGGAAGGAGGATCGGTGGAGTCCATGATATATATGTGCTTGTTTTGACTTCTCTGGCTAGAGGGTTATAGCGGAGCTCCAGGGGAAGTTCCGCTTTCATGCATTGTCCCCCGCTCCCCATTAAGGATTGGCACCTTTGGTGATCGGTTACCTGAATTTGACAGGTACCCGCTCCCACTTCTGCTGCGATCGCCTAGGTCAGGGGTAGGCAACATGAGAACCGCAAGACTACAAGTTCCATCATGCCTCTGCAAGTCATAGCTGTAACTGTCAGTTTTGAAATCTTTGCAATGCCTCATGGGAAATGTAGTTCCATAACAGCTAGAGAGCCGCAGGTTGCCTACCCCTGGCCAGGGGTGGACTGACCATTTGGAAACTCGGTCCGGGGTCCGTAGGAGGCCCCCATGAGATGCCCCTGGTACCTTTTTCATAGGCTTTTTTGAGTTTGGACAGAGGCCCTATGATCCCCTATTGCCTGGGGGCCCCATGAGTTGTTAGTCCACCCCTGCCCCTGGCCTAGGTGATCGGAAGTTGTCCTCCCCCCCCCTCCCTTCCTGTAGTCTTCTGGGACACATGCCAGGTCCCAAAATCTATGGGGCCATTCACAAAGTGCAGCGCTTCTTGCGCATGTGCAGTAGGCACCCGGCTGTAAAGCTGCAAGCTGTCACAGCTGGGTGGCCACACTATAGATACCAGCACCAGGGACAGAAGACGGCCGGTGAAACCAGCCGTGGTGAGGACGCCTCTGGACCGGGGGACAGGTAAGTGGCTGTATTTTAAAAGTCAGCAGCTAGTTTTTGTAGCTGCTGACTTTTTTCTTTTTCTCAGGTGGAACTCCGCTTTCAATCCTAATGACCCTTGGCGGTGGGATCACCCCTTGGAGTTATTGGTGTCATAGCACTTCATTTCACGGAGTTTGGTTTGGTCCTAAAGTTCACATTTGGGCTTACGTTCGTTTGGACTTTATTCGATCCTTTTAGGTTTATTGATAATGTTATGTACACTTAATTTAGAATTTCGGCCCAAGTTGGTTATTGGAGCAACAGATATACATTATATATATATATATATATATATATATATAAAAATGTAACAAAAAAAAAAAAATTACTTGTCGCCCACATTAGTCAGTCAATTAAGTTTTCTCTCTTAATAAAAGATTAAAAAAATAAAAGGGAGCCCAAAGGGGCACATTATTCTTTTATTATTATTATACAGGATTTATTATTATTATACAGGATTTATTATTATTATTATACAGGATTTATTATTATTATTATACAGGATTTATTATTATTATACAGGATTTATTATTATTATTATACAGGATTTATATTATTATTATTATACAGGATTTATTCTTATTATTATTATACAGGATTTATTATTATACAGGATTTATTATTATTATACAGGATTTATATTATTATACAGGATTTATATTATTATTATTCAGGATTTATTCTTATTATTATTATACAGAATTTATTATTATTATACAGGATTATTATTATTATACAGGATTTATTATTATTATACAGGATTTATATTATTATACAGGATTTATATTATTATTATTCAGGATTTATTCTTATTATTATTATACAGAATTTATTATTATTATACAGGATTATTATTATTATACAGGATTTATTATTATTATACAGGATTTATATTCTTTTATTATTATTATACAGGATTTATTATTATTATACAGGATTTATTATTATTATTATTATTATACAGGATTTATTATTATTATACAGGATTTATTATTATTATACAGGATTTTATTATTATTATTATTATTATACAGGATTTATTATTATTATACAGGATTTATTATTATTATACAGGATTTATTCTTTTATTATTATTATACAGGATTTATGGCACCAACAGTTTGCTCAGCGCTTTACATTACAATGGGAGACAATACAAGTGGGTTAGGAGGGCCCTGATCCTGGGAGCTTACAATCTAAGATGACTAGCCATGTATTGAATTTCCCCTCTGTCCCAACTCACCAAACCCCAGGCAGTCACAGATTGGTGTCTGCGTGAGGATGACCGGGCCGCTGCTCTGGCTGCCGACATCATCCAAAATGTGGCACAGGCTGACCCAGCTAGCGTTTGCGGTGTACAAGATGTGCGACGGTGCGACGTCTGCGTGGATGACTCGAAGTGCCACGGCGTTAAAAGGCACCTAGAAGACACAAGGGCACAACGCTCTCAGTTCTACGGGGTTATTTGCCATATAAATACATTCACAGACAGATTTCAGGTTTCCAGATCTCCATCTACTGTATTGTATGTCAGCTAAAGCAATAGGCAAGGATTAAGATGAGATGAATGACATGTCGCCCAGAGACGCCATTGCTTGCAGGTAAACCAATGTGTGATCTCATCGCCAGATCTGCTATGACTGTAGTACAGTAGGTGAGCTCGTGCCATAAATGTGAAGTACGCATAGCTCATTATGGCACCCACTCCTCCACGAATGTACAAATCGCCTGATGCCTGGGACATGGAGTTCCGGGCATCGAGAAGGTTTTTTTTTTTTTTTTTTTTTAACCTCCCTAGCGCTCTGATTATGTCCATATTTCTGTGCTCAAAGCGGTACTTTTTTTGCATGGAAATATGTTGTTATTTTATCGCAGGCCTGTAATTTTTAGGAATAACTCACTGAAATCTGTCCAAACAAGAGTCTAGTAAACATCCCGGGGATGATAAAACTTGAAACACGAAATCATAAATTATAATTTATTAAATAATCAAAAAAAATAATATAATAATAAATGTAATTCAATAATATAATCAAACCAAAAACACTGAAATGTGAAATAGAGCGCCAAGTTCGCACATCGCTGAGCTCAGTCGCAGAATCGTTTTCAGTGCCTGATGAGGAATTTCCCCCACCAATCATTATCACTCAATTCTGCAAGTGGTTCTGATTTACTATCGCTGTTCTCTAGCCGGTCTAAAACCGCGTCTGACCTAAAGGGACGCTTTTTGGACGCCATGGACGTGTCTCAGTTTCCAGGCAGAAAGGGCGGTAAAAATGCAGGCAGGGCGCCGGACAAAGCACTCGGGACACAATGTATGTGAAATGGTTTGATACAGGAATGTTATACTATGTGATTTTAGTGTATTTAGTGAATGTCACTTTTTGACATTTTTAAATTTCCCACCAGTTCCGTCCCCCGTACGTCCCGACGTCGCAGGGAACGGAACCCGGAAGACAGATGCCGGCATCGGCCGGAGGACATTACAGGGGACACTGCAGGGGGGACATCGCGGGAGCGCAGGACAAGGTAAGTGAAGAAGAGATCCCGGAGCCACGCCGCAGTGTATTCCCGAGTGTAGCTCGGGGGGGTTACCGCTTGTGGTGCTGAAACTTTACCCCGATCTACACTCGGGAATACCGCCGGGGGGTTAAGGCTTGGTTCACACTGCCGCGACTTGGGATCAGACTTGTGAGACCCCCCCAAAATCGCATGACGTGTGAAATCCCATGTTAGTCAATGAGAGCCGTCTTAATTCCCACTACTGAAGTCGCTCCGACTTTAGAAAAGGTTCCTGTAATACTTCAAGGCGACTTCTATAGACTTTAATAGAAGTTGCCACCAAGTCAGATCCTCATCTATATTGATGTGATTTGGATCCGACAATGCAGGAAGATTACCCAGCATTCCCTGAAAGTTGCTTCAAAGTGGTACTCAAGTTGCCTGGCAAAATCGCACTGTAAGTCGCGCAACTTTCAGGTCGCAGTAGCGTGAACCAAGACTTTATGCGGTGCAATTTTCATGTCAGTTTACAGACATTTTCAACAGGTAGTTGTTCAGTGGTTCATGTGCGATTCAGATATGATTCAGGCATGCGATTGTGGAGACCCTTTTGGTCAACGCGAATTTAGTACTGCTGCGGTTTTCAATCAGCCTTCCAATGTTAGAAATGCAGTCTATCCTCTTCTCTACAAAACGGCCTTCCATCCACCGGCTAGGAGTTGTGAACAGGCCTCAGAATGCCACCATACTCTATGCTGTGCGAGTTTGGAAAGCATTGCTCCAGATTGCAGCGCTAAAATAACAAATAAAAACAGCATAATATAGCATAAACTAAAGTGCATAATATCAAATCACACTGGAGGTGAACTTGAGTGAATAAAAAGTCCCAAGATAAATGCAGGCCCAACGTGGGGATCTGGTAGATCCTAATGAGTGCGTGGGCAGGGTTCCAGTGTACCACACGGTGAATCTAGGGTAAAAAATGCGCACTCACCAGAAGTGCATCAAAAATACGCATGTGAAATTATCCTGTTACATCAGGTAGCGGTCATCTATTGCCAAGGTAAGGTCAGAGTCATACACCTTCCAATCGCAACTCAGGGTAGGTACTCCAAGAGTCTCAAACGTGTCACCATCTGGGGTACCTTTGAACAGGTTCTGCAAGTGGGGACTCTTCCCGACTGTACACAGATGAGCCGGTTGGTGACCGTCTCCGCCACCGAGAAGAGCTCCGAGGTGTCCAGCCCCTCCAGCAGCCGGCTGCAGCCTTCCTTCTCCTGAGCGCTGAGCCCCGTGCACAGTCGGGAAGAGTCCCCGCTTGCAGAACCTGTTCAAAGGGACCCCAGATGGTGACACGTTTGAGACTCTTGGAGTACCTACCCTGAGTTGCGATTGGAAGGTGTATGACCCTGACCTTACCTTGGCAGTAGATTACAGCTACCTGATGTAACAGGATAATTTCACATGCGTATTTTTGACGCAGTTCTGGTGAGTGCGCATTTTTTTACCCTAGATTCACCGTGTGGTACACTGGAACCCTGCCCCACACACTCATTAGGATCTACCAGATCCCCACGTTGGGCCTGCATTTATCTTGGGACTTTTTATTCACTCAAGTTCACCTCCAGTGTGATTTGATATTATGCACTTTAGTTTATGCTATATTATGCTGTTTTATTTATGTTATTTTAGCGCTGCACCTTTATATGTATGTACTCAGTTGGAAGGTTCATTCTTGGTTACCTTTTTGGTGTTGTAGCAGCTATCTTTTATAGAGTTTTGGATAGCGCTCGCATATTACCTCTTTATTATTATTGCTCCAGACTGGCACAGGAACCTTCTATACACCCAATCAAAATCGCAGCGCTGGACATCCTTAATCTAAAACAATGTATTTTCAGATGCCACGCGAATCTAGGCCTTTCGGATCGCATCTTATCCACGTGTGGACTGGGACTCAGCCCTGGTTCACACCAGTGCGACTTGAGTTCAAAGTCGTATGACAAGTCGCACCCCATTAGCGGCAATGGAACGGCTCAAATCAGTGCGACTCAAGTCACAGCGACTTTGAAAAAGGTTCCTGCGCTATTTTTGTACAACTTCATTGCCACATGCATTGACATCTGTTAAATGAAGTCACAGCAAGAGTGCCAGCAAGCCGCAATGCAAAGAAAGTCGCACTGAATAGTCATAGCTACATAGTGTGGCTGAAGAAAAAAAAAAAAAAAAGCAGGCCATTTTTTTTCCTTTCATCCGAAAGACTAAATCGGACGATTTTCGCACTGTTAGTGGGGCATTGGCCGATTTTCGTGGTTCCTCCTCATTTCTTTTATCAGTCATGACGGTAAATTTGTGAAACGCGGCCGATTTCCGCAATCATTGGTTGGTTCTTTATCGGCCGATTTTTCGTCCGAAAAACGAACCGTCTATGGCCTGCATTAGAAAGATTGTGGAAAAGAGCAAAAAGAGTGGCGAAGGGAAGAGCGGAGAGAGAAAGCGAAGTGTCGTTTCCCCGGATCTCTCTATACTGACCTCGTAAGGCACTAAGCTGTTGAGAGGAATGATCTGCTCAAACTGCTGCAACTTGCCAATGTAGCCCAACATGGCGAGATCTCTCAGGATCCAACCGTGACACCGTCTGAAAGGGAAAAAATAAAGCGGAGAAGAAGCCTGTTAGACAGCAAATACTTGGCAGTGACCCGTCAGCATTGGTATCTGTTGACGTAATCAGCAACCCCAACATTGGTGTCAGTGGAAGTAATAAGCCCTGGCATTGGTGTCAGTGGACACAATAGGCAGCCCCAGCACTGGTGTAAGAAATGGCAACAACCCATCCCCCCCCAACCCCCAATGGGTGCAGCAATAACCCCCAGCATTGTCTCAATGGGTGCAGCAATAACCCCCCAGCATTGTTGTCAATAGGTGCAGCAATAACCCCCCCGCATTGTGTCAATGGGTGCAATAATAACCCCCCCGCATTGTCTCAATGGGTGCAATAATAACCCCCCCGCATGGTCTCAATGGGTGCAATAATAACCCCCCCCAGCATGGTCTCAATGGGTGCAATAATAACCCCCCCCAGCATGGTCTCAATGGGTGCAATAATAACCCCCCCCCAGCATTGTCTCAATGGGTGCAATAATAACCCCCCAGCATTGTCTCAATGGGTGCAATAATAACCCCCCCCCAGCATTGTCTCAATGGGTGCAATAATAACCCCCCGCATTGTCTCAATGGGTGCAATAATAACCCCCCGCATTGTCTCAATGGGTGCAATAATAATCCAGCATTGTCTCAATGGGTGCAATAATAACCCCCCCCCGCATTGTCTCAATGGGTGCAATAATAACCCCCCAGCATTGTCTCAATGGGTGCAATAATAACCCCCCAGCATTGTCTCAATGGGTGCAATAATAACCCCCCAGCATTGTCTCAATGGGTGCAATAACAATCCCCCAGCATTGTCTCAATGGGTGCAATAACGCCCAGCATTGTCTCAATGGGTGCAATAGTAACCCCCCCGCATTGTCTCAATGGGTGCAATAATAACCCCCCAGCATTGTCTCAATGGGTGCAATAATAACCCCCCAGCATTGTCTCAATGGGTGCAATAATAACCCCCCAGCATTGTCTCAATGGGTGCAATAATAACCCCCCGCATTGTCTCAATGGGTGCAATAATAACCCCCCAGCATTGTCTCAATGGGTGCAATAACGCCCAGCATTGTCTCAATGGGTGCAATAAAAAAAACCCTGCATTGTCTCAATGGATGCAATAATAACCCCCCAGCATTGTCTCAATGGGTGCAATAATAACCCCCCAGCATTGTCTCAATGGGTGCAATAACGCCCAGCATTGTCTCAATGGGTGCAATAAAAAAAACCCTGCATTGTCTCAATGGATGCAATAATAACCCCCCAGCATTGTCTCAATGGGTGCAATACCCCCCCCGCATTGTCTCAATGGGTGTAATAATAACCCCCCAGCATTGTCTCAATGGGTGCAATAATAAACCCCAGCATTGTCTCAATGGGTGCAATACTAACCCCAACAATAGCGTCAATTGACACAATAAGCAGCCACAACTTTGGTGTCGTTGGATACAGTAATAAGCATCACCCAGGACATGAGTGAATGCAATAACAGCCAACACTGGTGTCACTGACTGAAATATTAACCCCCAGCACTGTTGTCAGTACTATTACCCCTCCGTATTGGTGGCAGTTATCCCACACCCTTCCCCCCGGCACTGGTGGTTAGTGGCAGTAAAGTCTAACCCCCCAAGCCCACCCCTGCATTGGTGGTCATGACAGGTGGAGAGGACGGAGATGACTCCACTGACAGCACAGTCCCTCTCTCTAGAACACACACTGCTTCAGCGACCGGCACCATGCTGCTGATCATCCCGCGTGTTGGGCACCAGGGGGTCTAGTACATGGACTACATTTAAGTTGCTCATTTCAGACACCAAACCCTTCCAAGAGTCACTTACACGGTCTCTGTCCCACCAGCCCCACTGAAACGGTTTTCAATCTGAAGCAGCTCATGTCCCGAGGAAGGCTTGAAGTGAGGATCCGTGTCTTCTTCTTCATCGGAGGAGTCCAGCCCTTTGTGTTTGTATTTGGTGCCGGAAGAGGCCTTCGTCATGTATCCAGCCGCACTCTTCACATACTCCGGGGTGAGCGGCTCCATGCGTTCCCCTCCCTCACCGACAATCTGTACGACATGGTTGGGGGACAGCAGGCGGATCAGGTCTATCAGGAGTAGCAAGCCAAACCCTGAGGGGGAGAACAAAAAGACATGGCAAGCATGTAAATATTAAAGGGCAACTCCAAATGGATGTAGCAGGGGTGTGGAAATTTACAAAAAAAACTACTTGTCCAAGGACTAAAATCAGTGCCTCAATCTAGTTGAGCCTCGAGGACCATCTACTGGTCCCTCGGGGGGCCCATCTACTGGTCCCTCGGGGGGCCCATCTACTGGTCCCTCGGGGGGCCCATCTACTGGTCCCTCGGGGGCCCATCTACTGGTCCCTCGGGGGGCCCATCTACTGGTCCCTCGGGGGGCCCATCTACTGGACCCTCGGGGGGCCCATCTACTGGACCCTCGGGGGGCCCATCTACTGGACCCTCGGGGGGCCCATCTACTGGACCCTCGGGGGGGCCATCTACTGGACCCTCGGGGGGCCATCTACTGGACCCTCGGGGGGCCATCTACTTGACCCTCGGGGGCCATCTACTTGACCCTCGGGGGGCCATCTACTTGACCCTCGGGGGGGCCATCTACTTGACCCTCGGGGGCCATCTACTTGACCCTCAAAAAAAAAAAAAAACCAAAACCGAATTTAGATCTGAGGTGCTTTAACCACTTCCCGTCCGGCCTGTGTACATAAACAGCCGGACGGGAGAGCAGTGCAGCAACTTCTGCATTCACTGCCTGTGCGCGCTCCCTGGGAGTGATCGGCACCCGCGATCCGGTGCCCGCTGTGTCCTCCACCGATCGCTGTATGGGACCTCTGTGCGAGGTCCCGATCATGTGATCACTGATTGGCCAATCAGCGATCACATGCAGAGTAGTAAGCAAGATGCGACTTCCCGACATCATTGCTTACTACTGGTGATCTCTGTGAACATTCACAGATTTCACAAGGTACAGGGCTATTCAAAACATCTTTGTACCATGTGACAAGCTGTGACCAATCACAGCTAAACAGTATTTCTCAATGGCTGCCGGAATGTCACTTCTGACTGTCGCCTTAAGAGTTCCCTTTACTGGAACTAGGGGGCCAAGCCCAACCCCTGAAAAACAACCCCACACCATAATCCCTCCTCCACCAAACTTTACACTTGGCACAATGCAGTCAGGCAAGTACCGTTCTCCTGGCTGCCAAAGCCAGACACGTCCATCGGATTACCAGACAGAGAAGTGTGATTGGTCACTCCAGAGAACATGCCTCCCTTGCTCTAGAGTCCAGTGGCGGCGTGCTTTACACCACGGCATCTGACGCTTTGCATTGCACTTGGTGATGGAAGGCTTGGATGCAGCTGCTTGGCCATGGAAACCCATTCCATGAAGCTCTCTACGCACTGTTGTTGGGCTCATCTGAAGGCCACACCAAGTTTGGAGGTCTTTAGCTATTGACTCTGCAGACAGTTGGCGACTTCTGTGCGCTTCAGCATGCGCTGACCCCGCTCTGTCATGTGACGTGGCCTACCACTTGGTGGCTGAGTGGCTGTTGTTCCCACTTTGTTATAATCCCACTAACAGTTGAGCGTGGAATATTTAGTAGCCAGGAAATGTCACGGATGGACTTATTGCCCAGGTGGCCACCTATCACGGGACCACGCTTGGAGTCACTGAGCTCCTGAGAGCGACCCATTCTTTCACCAATGTTTGTAAAAGCCGTCTGCATGCCTAGGGGATGGATTGTATACACCTGTGTCCATGGAGGGGATTGGAACTCCTGAATCACATGATATGGAGGGGAATGGAACACCTGAATCACATGATATGGAGGGGATTGGAACACCTGAATCACATGATATGGAGGGGATTGGAACACCTGAATCACATGATATGGAGGGGATTGGAACACCTGAATCACATGATATGGAGGGGATTGGAACACCTGAATCACATGATATGGAGGGGATTGGAACACCTGAATCACATGATATGGAGGGGATTGGAACACCTGAATCCAATTGGTGGCGGAGACACTTTTTATTTTTTTTAAATTGTTTTTTATTTTTACATTGTCAGTTCATTTTTTTTTTTTTTTTAACCACTTTTATTGCTGTCACAAGGAATGTAAACATCCCCTGCCCCTGTGACAGCAATAGGCACGTGACAGGTATTTTTTTTGAAGGAATCTGGGGTCCATGAGACCCCAAATTCCCCCTCTGCACTTCAGATATTTTTAATGTCAGGTCATCGCTTCCGGATTACAATGAAGGAGAGTCGATCAAAGCCGATTCTGGCTGCTTGTACAAGAGAGCTGGCCACCGGCTCTAAAAAAACAACCCCCCCCCAAAAAAAAACCCCACAACAGTATCACTCCGGTATAATCCCCCCCCCCCATGTACGGGTACGTCGCTGGTCCGGAGGTGGTTAAGGACTGAACATATCCAGTAGCTCACCTTTAATCCATCCCATGGTGTTGACAATGAGCGGCTGCTCCCTCTTGTAAGACGTGATGACATATTTCACAGATTCGAGGAACCGTTCAATCTCCTGTTCACACGACGTCTCTCCGAAGAAGACCATCTTCTGGACGTCGCTCTGATGCGTAAATGGAGGACCTGCAAAAAAAAATAAAATACTGTAAAAGCTCCTCACAAGACCTCCTTCTCTCTAGTTCCCTGGTCTCCTCCTCCCATGCCCGACTCCAGGACTTCTCCAGGGTGTCACCCATCCTCTGGAACTCCCTGCCCCAACCCATCAGATTATCACCTACTCTCCTCTCCTTTAGGCGCACCCTGAAAACCCATCTCTTCAGGGAAGCCTACCCCACCCCCCGCTAACCTGCCGACCTCCTCCACTCTTCCTACCACCCCCATCCACCACAGCTATCTCCTCCTGTGCCACCATCCCCTCCCTCCTAGATTGTAAGCTCCAAGGAGCAGGGCCCTCGATCCCCTCATGTATTGTATTGGTATTGTTCTGTCACATGTTCTGTCCCCCTTTGTAATGTACAGCGCTGAGCAAACCATTGGCGCTTTATAAATACTGTATAATAATAGTAAAAAAAAAAAAAAAAATAAAAAAAAAAAAAAAACAAAAACAAACAAAAAAAAAAAAAAAATAGACACGTGACTGCCAGTGACTTATGAACTAGAATACTGAAAACAGCTAAACAGATGGAATATAAATATGGAGCGGGTTTACCTGCCCAAGGATTTGTATATACTTAGTAGCTAGAGAATGTCTAGCACCATCTATCCCAGGGGTGGGCAACTGTGGCCCTCCAGCTGTTGTAGAACTACAAGTCCCAGGAGGCATTGCAAGACTGACAGTTACAAGCATGACGCCTAAAGGCAGAGGCATGATGGGACTTGTAGTTCACCAACAGCTGGAGGGCCACAGTTGCCTACCCCTGATCTAGCCTTTTCCTCCCTAGCCCGACTGACCCTGGCCCACCCCTTATTCGATTTAAACTCTTAACCACTTCATGTCCGGACACTCACCCCCCCCTCCCAGGCCGGACGCTTTCCCCCCCTCCCAGGCCGGACGCTTCCCACCCCCCCCCCTCCCAGGCCGGACCCATCCCCCTCCGCCCCCCCCCCCCCCCCCCCCCCCCTTCCAGGCCGGACGCTTTCCCCCCCCCCCCCCCCCTTCCAGTCCGGACACTTTCCCCCCCCCCCCCCTTCCAGTCCGGACACTTTCCCCCCCCCCCCCTTCCAGTCCGGACACTTTCCCCCCCCCCCCCTTCCAGTCCGGACACTTTCCCCCCCCCCCCCCTTCCAGTCCGGACACTTTCCCCCCCCCTTCCAGTCCGGACACTTTCCCCCCCCCCTTCCAGTCCGGACACTTTCCCCCCCCCTTCCAGTCCGGACACTTTCCCCCCCCCTTCCAGTCCGGACACTTCCCCCCCCCCCCCCCTTCCAGTCCGGACACTTTCCCCCCCCCTTCCAGTCCGGACACTTCCCCCCCCCCCCCCCCCCCCCTTCCAGTCCGGACACTTTCCCCCCCCCTTCCAGTCCGGACACTTCCCCCCCCCCCTTCCAGTCCGGACACCCCCCCCCCCCCCCCCCCTTCCAGTCCGGACACTTTCCCCCCCCCCCCCCCCTTCCAGTCCGGACACTTTCCCCCCCCCCCCCCTTCCAGTCCGGACACTTTCCCCCCCCCCCCCCCTTCCAGTCCGGACACTTTCCCCCCCCCCCCCTTCCAGTCCGGACACTTCCCCCCCCCTTCCAGTCCGGACACTTTCCCCCCCCCTTCCAGTCCGGACACTTTCCCCCCCCCCTTCCAGTCCGGACACTTCCCCCCCCCTTCCAGTCCGGACACTTCCCCCCCCCCCTTCCAGTCCGGACACTTCCCCCCCCCCCCCCCTTCCAGTCCGGACACTTCCCCCCCCCCCCCCTTCCAGTCCGGACACTTCCCCCCCCCCTTCCAGTCCGGACACTTCCCCCCCCCCCCCTTCCAGTCCGGACACTTCCCCCCCCCCCTTCCAGTCCGGACACTTCCCCCCCCCCTTCCAGTCCGGACACTTCCCCCCCCCCTTCCAGTCCGGACACTTCCCCCCCCCCTTCCAGTCCGGACACTTCCCCCCCCCCCCCCCTTCCAGTCCGGACACTTCCCCCCCCCCCCTTCCAGTCCGGACACTTTCCCCCCCCCCCCTTCCAGTCCGGACACTTTCCCCCCCCCCCCTTCCAGTCCGGACACTTTCCCCCCCCCCCTTCCAGTCCGGACACTTTCCCCCCCCCCCCTTCCAGTCCGGACACTTTCCCCCCCCCCCTTCCAGTTCGGACACTATCATCCCCCCCCCCCCCCCTTCCAGTCCGGACACTTTCCCCCCCTTCCTGCCCAGGCCAGTTTTCAGCGCGATCACACTTTGAATGACAATTGCGCGGTCATGCAACACTGTACCCACATGACATTTTTAGTATTTTTTTGAGACAGATAATACTTTATTTTGGTGGTATTTATTCACCACTGGGATTTTTATTTTTTTTGCTATATAAATGAAAAAAATCCAAAAATTAAAAAAAAAAAAAAAAAAAAATTTTTTTTGTTTGTTATAAAATTTTGCAAATAACCTTTCTTCATAAATCTTGGGCAAAATTTATTCAGTTATCTTTAAAGTGGTTTAAAAAAAAAAAAAAATTTTTCTTTACATTTTTCTTTTCTTTTTTTATATTACTATTTATGTTTTTTTTTTTTAACATACTGTCACCCTAGCAGTAGAAGGCTGTTGTGAATGGCCCTGTACCGTGTGACCTCTGTGATCAATCACAGATTTCACATGTAGTAAGCAATGATGTCAGAAGTGACATCTGGCTTACTACTCTGCATGTGATCACTGATTGGCCCCGTACGATGATCGGAGGACACAGCGGGCACTGGATCGCGGTGCTGCGCGCTCCCAGGGAGCTTATAAACTCCCCGTTTATAAATGGCCACCCGACCCTGCAGTGCCACCGTCCCGGCCGTTTATATACAACGGCCAGACAGGAAGTGGTTAAAGCCCCATTACCTTTTTTTTGGTTAGGGCTATCTCTTCATGTTACATGTTCCACCCATTTTTAGGGTGAAACATGTAACATGCTCCTCATAGCTGCCCCCGCCCGCCCGCGGACAGATAGTACGGGAGACGTCAATGCTTGTAGTTTTCAGTGAACTACCACGGCGCTGTGGAGCTCTGTGGTAGTTCATTGAAGCTTCCTGTCAGAATATCTGCTTCATCGTACATCCTGTACACCCCCATACATCCCGTACACACCCCCATACATCCCGTACACCCCCCATACATCCCGTACACCCCCCCATACATCCCGTACACCCCCCATACATCCCGTACACCCCCCCATACATCCCGTACACCCCCCCATATGATAGGCAGATATTCTGACAGGTCTGCAGGAGACCTGCATGGCACCAGCTATCTATTGATCACTGATGCAATGCTTTCCAGGCTCCCGTAGACTAGAAAAAAATAACAAAAATGCACATTTTTTCCTGCAAAAAAAAAAAAAAAAAAAAAAAAATGTGCATTTATTATTTTTGTCTAAAAAGGTGAAGTTATCCTTTAACTAATTGCCGACCGCAGATAGCCGAATGACGGCTGCACTGCGGCCGGCCAGTTCTGGCCTACGGACACAGCTGATCACGTGACGTGGTAAAAGGCCAATCACAGCGGCCTTTTAACACGTGATCAGCCGTGACCAATGACACGCTGATCACCGGGAAAATGCAAATGCCGGTTCTCGGCTGCACTTTCCTCACGCTGTCAGATCGTGAGGAAAGTACTGCTGAAAAACCGGCAGTTGTCAGAGCGGGGATCGGCACTGATCATCAGGGTCACTGATCACCAGTCATACGTCAGATACGTCACTTCCGGTCATGCGCACTAGGTGGAACGCACGCTGACCCATAAGGAGGAAGCCATCTTCACATGCCATGAGGCAAGCCTAAGCAGCACAAGCGCCGAGAAGGGGCTGGAACCCGCGGTATATCGGCGGATGTCAGCGGTGGTTCCTTGGCCGCCTTGGCCCTGTATGGCAGTACCTATGAAGGACTTCTCTTTCATTCCCGTTATCCATAGCACAGGTGGTGAGTGGACTGTTACAGGACATTAGATATATGGTCCTCTGTGATCTATATGACCTATATATCTTCTATAGAGTGTGAGCTCTGTCAGTGACTTCCCACATATTGTTTGTTTCACTACAGGATGGGGACATCATGGTGCTTTGTATAGGAAACAAGATATACCATCATATATATTTCAACAGGCAGAAGAGTCTTTGGGATGTGTCTTGTTTTTTCCTACAAAAGTGGTGTATAGTCCACATGTAGTGGTGAAGAAACCATTTCAAGCAGAGTGCTGCTTTGTGCATCTTTTCTTCCATCCTGGAAATAAATGGGGCATATTCCCATCCAAGAGCTCTAGGAAACAGCTATCTATATTACAGATGAATGGGCCCCAACCACTTGTGCCGGCACAGGAATGTATTGTACCATATATTTGACATTTATGTCTTCCTTCATACAGGCCTGAGGCCTGCTATTCTCCTTTTTGACGCATATTGTGCTTGCTCCATTGCATACATGTGAGATATATATCTACAGCATAATTTTTTGGATTTCTTGATAGGGATTTGCCATTATGGTTACTGTTTAATCCCTTATATCCTCTATTATGGTATGCCCATGGCATAATTTTTGGATACACCTCCCTAGGGAAGTGTTCACCTGTGTGTTTGTGTTGCAGGGACACTAGACTCATGTAGCCATTTTCCCTGCTACACATACATTTAGACCGGTTTTTGTGTCATTTTAAATGGTTTTAGGTCTGTGTGTATTGTCTCATACTGAGGTGATGGTAAACCAGGGCAAATGCCCATATGTCATATTCATTTGTGTGTAATAAAGCATAATTTTTGGAAATTATTCCCTTAGTGTCACGTTCTGTTCATTATGTAGCCGCTTTTCTGTGAATCTCTTTTCACAACCCTCCTGTTTTGTATCACTGATCACCAGTGCCCTGATGATCGGTGCCCAGCAGTGCCACACACAAGTTCCGCCCACCTGTGCCCAGCAGTGCCACCCACCTGTGCCCAGCAGTGCAGCCAGTCAGTGCTGCCTATCCGTGCCGCCTATCCGTGACACCTCATTAGTGCCGCCTATCAGTGCCCTTCAGTGCTGCCTATCAGTGTCATCAGTGCCGCCTATCAGTGTCCATCAGTACCGCCTCATCAACGCACATCAGTGGAGAAAAATTACCTGTTTGAAAAATTTTATAATAGAAACAAAAAATTTTTTTCTTTTTTCAAAATTTTTTGCAATTTTTTTGTTTATAGCACAAAAAGTAAAGCGCCCAGCAGTGATTAAATACCACCAAAAGAAAGCTCTATTTGTGAGAAAAAAATGCTAAAAATTTCATATGGGTACAATCTTGCATGACCGCGCAATTGTCAAAGTGCGGCAGCGCTGAAAGCTGAAAATTGGCCTGGTAACTAAGGGGGTATAAGTGCCCGGCCGGCGAGGGGTTAAAAAAGGTAAAAGATACATTTTAAATCGGACCATTGAAACTTAAGCAAGATGAAGCCCACCTTTAAAAACTCTTACCTAGCACAGGCTTGGTTACGTTCAGCAGTGATATAGCTCCGGGAGGTGTAAACTCTGACTGTCCCAAGTCACACTCCAAGTAGCCAACGCATGGGATGCTGGGAAAAAAAAAAAAAAAAAAAAAAAACACCTTAGCCACTTTTAAAATGTTTTCGTCATCAGGTTCAATAAAGAAATATTTCATAGTAGAGACATTGCACGTCTTTCCTGCAATAATGGACTCTGTTCACAGTCTGTTGTAAGCCCTCACGCACACGAGAGGTTTTGAGAACTCTGGTAACATTAGCTGTGTAAAATCACGTTAAAAAAAAAAAAACTTTACATTTCAAACTTTCGTTTTTCAGCTTTTTTCACGTTTTACTGTTCAGCGCCATTTTAGAGAGTTTGTGTTTTTTAGCGTTTTTTTTTTTTTTCTTTTTGAACGGGTCTGGAGGAGGACCAGAGGAGGAGTGGAGTCAGTTACCAGAGTCTTCTGAATGGGTCTGGAGGAGGACCAGAGGAGGAGTGGAGTCAGTTACCAGAGTCTTCTGAATGGGTCTGGAGGAGGACCAGAGGAGGAGTGGAGTCAGTTACCAGAGTCTTCTGAATGGGTCTGGAGGAGGACCAGAGGAGGAGTGGAGTCAGTTACCAGAGTCTTCTGAATGGGTCTGGAGGAGGACCAGAGGAGGAGTGGAGTCAGTTACCAGAGTCTTCTGAATGGGTCTGGAGGAGGACCAGAGGAGGAGTGGAGTCAGTTACCAGAGTCTTCTGAATGGGTCTGGAGGAGGACCAGAGGAGGAGTGGAGTCAGTTACCAGAGTCTTCTGAATGGGTCTTGAGGAGGACCAGAGGAGGAGTGGAGTCAGTTACCAGAGTCTTCTGAATGGGTCTGGAGGAGGACCAGAGGAGGAGTGGAGTCAGTTACCAGAGTCTTCTGAATGGGTCTGGAGGAGGACCAGAGGAGGAGTGGAGTCAGTTACCAGAGTCTTCTGAATGGGTCTGGAGGAGGACCAGAGGAGGAGTGGAGTCAGTTACCAGAGTCTTCTGAATGGGTCTGGAGGAGGACCAGAGGAGGAGTGGAGTCAGTTACCAGAGTCTTCTGAATGGGTCTGGAGGAGGACCAGAGGAGGAGTGTAGTCAGTTACCAGAGTCTTCTGAATGGGTCTGGAGGAGGACCAGAGGAGGAGTGGAGTCAATTACCAGAGTCTGCTGAACGCTGAGACCAGGGGAGCTAGAGATGAAGGGGTGCTACAGCTGCACTGAAAGGTGCAGGATTTGGCAGAGGAGTTCTATTTTCCTCTCTGCTGCCGACTGCTGAGACAAGGGGGTACCTGCAGGAGAGGTGCAAGGGCCACATGAAATGGCCTAGAGGGCCGGATTCGGCCTGCGGGCCTTGTGTTTGACACCTGTGTTTTAAAGGATGAGTTCACCTTTTGGAGCATGTAACACCCATAGTTAGGATATAATGTGTAACACGCTCCAAACTTGCCCACCGCACCCCGATCCCTCCCCTTTTCCCTGTGAAAGATGGTGGGGGATCCCGCCCACAGAGCCGCATCAATCATTCACAGGAATGTGAATGAGAAAAATACAAGTCCCATCTACCACCGCGGCAGACGGCTTGTAACGGTCAATGGACCATGAGTGAGTAGTCCATTCACTGCCTACAGCTCTAACAGAAATCCCAAACAGAGCTGCAGGCAGTGTGTGCAGGAGCCTGACATTGCACCCGGGATCCACTGATCGCAGGTGCCATGCTGTGCATGTTCCTGTGGGGAAAAAAAAAAAAAAATGCACTTTTGTTTCCCCTGCAAAAATACGTGGAGGACAACTTCCGCCTCTGATTGCCTAGGGGGCCACAGCCGAAGTGGGAGAGGGTACCTGTCAAAAATCTGGTACCTGCTCTCCAATGGTGCCAATCCTTAACAGGGAGCGGGGGGGGGGGGGGGGACGACGACCCCTTTTGGGTGGAGCTCCGCTTTAAGAATAATGAAACAGGAGAGCAGGGGAGGAAAAAAAAAAACAAAAAACCACACAACACACTAAAACAGCAACTTACTGATTTAATAACTGGTTAATGAGATATCGGTTGAATGTTGATTTTCCAACATTTTGTGGGCCACAGACAAGAATGACTGGACAGCCATCATGTTCCTCTGCAAAAAAAAAAAAATAAGATCATCACAGATGAGAAAACAAATCATTTCAGAATTTTTTTCCCATCTTGCACATGACCTATACTCTGCGCAATTCAATTAAAAACAAAAAATTGTTAAATAAGGAAAAAAATATATAAAAAAAATACAATAACATGGTTGCATAAATATGCACACCCCTAAACACTTGAAGCACCTTTTGATTTTTTTTTTTTTTTTTTTTTTTAACAGCATTCAGTCCTTTGGGGTTGGGGGTCTATCATCGGGAATCTTTGCCCACTCTTGCTTGCAAAAGTGCTCCAAAGCTGTCAAGACTGAGGGGCATCTCCTGTGCGCAGCCCTCTGCAGGTCACCCCACAGATTCAGTTGGATTCAGGGCTCTAGCTGGATCTTCTTCTGGTGAAGCGGTTATTGTTTGTTGATTTGGGAGGTAGGTTTGTGTTGGTCTCCTGCTGAAAGGTGATCCATCTTGGATCTAAAAATCCTGGCATGTTTACAGCGGCGTGGGGACTTTTTACATCCACAGTAAATGTGAGACCACAACCACAAAAATAATTTACATGCCAAAAAAAACTACCGTATTTTTCGCTCCATAAGATGCACTTTTTTCCTCCAAAAAAAGGGGGGAAATGTCAGTGCGTCTTATGGAGCGAATATAAAGCGGCCGGTCCGGTATTTCTGCCGCCACCATGTCAGAATACCGGGCCGGCCGCTCAGCTGTTCTCTCTTGCAGGGCCTTACCTGTTCCTCGCTCCAGCGCTGTACAGTCTTCCCGCGCTGGCTTCTGTGACACCCGGCGCGGGAAGAAGAGAGAAGGACAACTCCGCGGAAGTGGGGGCGGGTATCTGTCAAATTCAGGTACCCGCTCCCCCTCCCTCCCCAAAGGTCCGCAGTCTCTGGTCATCTCCTGTACTATGTCCGCAGTCTCTGGTCATCTCCTGTACTGTGTCCGCAGTCTCTGGTCATCTCCTGTACTGTGTCCGCAGTCTCTGGTCATCTCCTGTACTATGTCCGCAGTCTCTGGTCATCTCCTGTACTGTGTCCGCAGTCTCTGGTCATCTCCTGTACCGTGTCCGCAGTCTCCGGTCATCTCCTGTACTGTGTCCGCAGTCTCTGGTCATCTTCTGTACTATGTCCGCAGTCTCTGGTCATCTCCTGTACTGTCTCCGCAGTCTCTGGTCATCCCCTGTACTATGTCCGCAGTCTCTGGTCATCTCCTGTACTATGTCCGCAGTCTCTGGTCATCTCCTGTACTGTGTCTGCAGTCCATTGGTTCAGAATTTTTTTTTTCCCTGTCTTTCGCCTCTAAAACCTAGGTGCGTCTTATGGAGCGAAAAATACGGTAAATATACATTTCTATATATGTGTGTGTGTAATATATATATATATATATATATATATATATATATATATATATATATATATATATATACACATATACATATATATATATATATATACATACATACATACACATACATATACATATGTACACACACACACACACACACAGTGAGGAACAGAAGTATTTGAACCCCCTGCGATTCTGCAAGTTCTCCCACTTCTCCATCATGGAGGGTCTGACATTCACATTGGAGGGACATTCCCACTCTGAGGACAGAATTCAGGAAATCACATTGTATGATTTGTAAAGAATGTATTTGTCTCGCACGGCTGAACAGAAGTATTTGAACACCTAAGAAACAGCAAGAATTCTGGCTCTCAAAGACCTGTTACTGCGCCTTTAAAAAGTCCACCTCTACTCCACTCATTCATCTAACTTAGTAGCACCTGTCTGAGCTCTTTAAAGACACCTGTCCACCCCACAGTCAGTCACACGCCAACTACTACCATGGGCAAGACCAAAGTCAAAAGGCACCAGACACAATTGTGGACCTCTACAAGGCTGGAAAGGGCTACAGGGCAATTGCCAAGCAGCTTGGTGAAAATAGATCAACTGTTGGAGCAATTGTTAGAAAATGGAAGAGGTTAAAGATGACTGTCAGTCTCCCTCGGACTGGGGCTCCATGCAAGATGTCACCTCGTGGGGTATCACTGATGAGAAGAAAGGTGAGGAATCAGCCCAGAACTACAAGGGAGGAGCTGGTCAATGACATGAAGAGAGCTGGGACCACAGTTTCACAGGTCACTGTCGGTAGAACACTACGCCGTCATGGTTTCAAATCATGCATTGCATGGAAGGTTCCCCTGCTCAAGTCATCACATGTCCAGGCCCGTCTGAAGGTTCCCCTGCTCAAGTCATCACATGTCCAGGCCCGTCTGAAGGTTCCCCTGCTCAAGTCATCACATGTCCAGGCCCGTCTGAAGGTTCCCCTGCTCAAGTCATCACATGTCCAGCCCCGTCTGAAGGTTCCCCTGCTCCAGTCATCACATGTCCAGGCCCGTCTGAAGGTTCCCCTGCTCCATTCATCACATGTCCAGGCCCGTCTGAAGGTTGCCAATGACCATCTGGATGATCCAGAGGAGGCATGGGAGAAAGTCATGTGGTCAGAGGAGACCAAAAGGAGAACTTTTTGGTCTAAACTTCACTCGTCGTGTTTGGAGGAAAAAGAAGGATGAGTTGCATCCCAAGAACACCATCCCTACTGTGAAGCATGGGGGTGGTAACATCATGCTTTGGGGGTGCTTTTCTGCGAAGGGGACAGGATGACTGCACTGTATTAAGGAGAGGATGAATGGGGCCATTTATTGTGAGATTTTGAGCAACAACCTCCTTCCCTCAGTCAGAGCATTGAAGACGGGTCGTGGCTGGGTCTTCCAACATGACAACGACCCGAAGCACACAGCCAGGAGAACCAAGGAGTGGCTCCGTAAGAAGCATATCAAGGTTCTGGAGTGGCCTAGCCAGTCTCCAGACCTAAATCCAATAGAACATCTTTGGAGGGAGCTGAAACTCCGTGTTGCTCAGCGACAGCCCCGAAACCTGACAGATCTAGAGGAGATCGGTGTGGAGGAGTCGGCCAAAATCCCTGTTGCAGTGCAAACCTGGCCAAGGACTACAGGAAACGTCTGACCTCTGTAATTGCAGACAAAGGCTTCTGTACCAAATATTAACACGGATCTTCTCAGGGGTTCAAATACTTCTGTTCAGCCGTGCGAGACAAATACATTCTTTACAAATCATACAATGTGATCTCCTGAATTCTGTCCTCAGAGTGGGAATCCCCTGCAATGTGAATGTCAGACCCTCCAAGATGGAGAAGTGGGAGATCTTGCAAAATCGCAGGGGGTTCAAATACTTCTGTTCCTCACTGTATATACATACACACACACAGTAATACCTCGGTTAACGAATTGAATTCGTTCTGCAAGACTTTTCGTATAGCGAACAATTCGCCTGTTCCCATAGGAATGCATTGAAAACCAATTAATCCATTCCCGAGGTCAGAAAAAAGTAAATGCTACTAAAATACCGCACGAGTCATTTTATTAAGTCATGCGGTATGTTAGTAGTGACAACCATGTGTTAATGTTTCAGCTGTCAGCAGGATTCCACACTGACAGCTGAATGTAAAAGAATTGCCGGCAATTACAAAAATTTAAAAAAAGGCATGGGGTCCCCCCTCCCATCCATACCAAGCCCTTATGCTTTTTAAAAAAAAAAAAAAAAAAAGCCTTCAGCCTCTGGAACCACCTCAATAGTAATTTTCAATATAGAGGGATCAGAGCACACACCTCCAGCTGTACTGTGTCTGCCACAGATACAGCACAGAACAGGGAGCAACAGGGTTTGCCACTCTGTTACATTTCCTCTATATATTCAGATGAAGCCAACATGTTTCAAGTGAAATGTCTCCCCCCCCCCCCCCCCCCTTCCTCAGGGCTGAGCCCATGGATGTAATTGGGACTCTCAATGAGATTAACCCCTTCGCCCCGGCGCCTCCCAGCCCTTTAAGGGTTTCAGAAGCGGGGAGGCGGGGTTTAGGGTCATGTTGCCGCCATGACGCGTCGTCACACAATTGGGAAAGGTCCTGATCGAAAGAGATCGGGACCTTTCCGTGAGTACCGGACACGTGTGCTGGGAGCGGGCAGGTCGCGCACGCACTCTCAGCACGTATGTTCTTTTTTAATAGAACCCAAATGTGTGGCCGTTTGGTGTCTAGGCCCAGACGCCGGGAGGCGGCACATTTGCGTTCGGCCGGCGTGAAGAGGTTAAAAGAGACCTATGTTATGGCTTGGTCTAAATCAGTGGTTCTCAACCTTCCTAATGCCGCGACCCTTTAATACAGTTCCTCATGTTGTGGTGACCCCCAACCATAAAATTATTTTCGTTGCTACTTCAGAACTGTAATTTTGCAGTTGGAGGAATAGTGCCCCATCGTTGGTGTCAGTGGGGGGAGGAATAGTGCCCCATCGTTGGTGTCAGTGGGGGGAGGAATAGTGCCCCATCGTTGGTGTCAGTGGGGGGAGGAATAGTGCCCCATCGTTGGTGTCAGTGGGGGGAGGAATAGTGCCCCATCGTTGGTATTAGTGACACCAATGATGGGGCACTAATCCTCCCACTGACACCAATGATGGGGCACTATTCCTCCCACTGACACCAATGATGGGGCACTATTCCTCCCACTGACACCAATGATGGGGCACTATTCCTCCCACTGATACCAATGATGGGGCACTATTCCTCCCACTGATACCAATGATGGGGCACTATTCCTCCCACTGACACCAATGATGGGGCACTATTCCTCCCACTGACACCAATGATACTTACCTTGCTGACCCCTGCTCCAGCCTGGGCTTGCTCGCTCGCTCCCTCCCTCTCCCATGGTACAGACACTTACCGGTCAGCTGTCTTCCTTCTCCGGCCGCTCTCCTCTTCACTCGCTCGATCTTCGCGGTGCCGCTCGGCTCCTCCTCTCCAAGCTCCACCTCCTCGCCGGTGATTGGCCGCCTGTGTGCCTCTCCTGAGCTACAGTTCCGGCGGCCAATCACTGGCGAGGATTGATCCCGGGGTGTGTCCAGATGGCAGGGGCGGCATGTCATCCCGCCCACACCTGGAGACGTATAGAGGAGCGGTGTCTCGATTCCTAAGACCATCGGAAATATGTGTTTTCCGATGGTCTTAGGCGACCCCTGTGAAATGGTCGTTCGACCCCCAAAGGGGCCGCGACCCCCAGGTTGAGAACCGCTGGTCTAAACAATCAGCATAGTCTTACCCCCGGTTCACATCTATGCGGGTGGTGCCGCTGCGGATCCGCACAAAAATCCACCCGCACAGAGAATTGCGGAGCCGCGGGCGGGTGCCATTAGTTCTAACGGCACGCCGCCCGCACTGGGAAACGCAACCGTACTGGGAACCTCGGCTGCGTTTTCCAAAGAAGTGCCGGGACTTCTTCCCTGCGTGTCAAATGAATGGGCTCTGGAGCCCATGCAAAACGCGGCCCGCACGGGTTTGAACCGGGGGGGGGGGGGGGGGGTCCAAAATTTTCCCCTCCTCTTGAAAAGGAATTAAAAGGCGGCTGCTTACCAAGGCAAGCGTCCACCAACGTCTGCGCTGCCGACACGGCACTCTCCGGTATGGCAATCGCCGAATCAGGATCACGATTCTCGATTCCAATAGACTGCAGGACGGAGTCATCCAATGTGGAGGAGAAGATTTCACTCTGAAGAGACACGAGATTAGATCACAGACATGTTTTTACCATTGTTGCCTCGGCTGCACGAACTAGACCCCACCCACACAGAAACGAGATTGTACGCACTCGCAGGACATCTCTACATGTATGGAATGATTTTACATAGGATCCAGTTTGTCTGCATTTAGAAAAAAATAGGAAATGTGTTTTCAGGGGGCAGATCAGCTATTCTGGGGGCATCTAAAGAGGAGAAATCGATGTGCAATAAATCTCTTATTTCAGGTGAAGAGTTCGTTCATCTTTCCAAAAAAAAAAAGAAAAAGTGACCTACCCACCCAGGAGCGTCCCTAGGGTTGGTGTCACCCGGTACGATAACACTTGGTGACAACCCCTCCGACGATCCCCGCAGGATAGATCGGATCTGCGGATTGAGCATAATGGATCGGAGTCCGATCCATTATGTTCCCCAATCGGCAGATCCCATCCATCCTGCGGGGATCGTCGGCATGCAACCTATACGGGGTGACACCGGAAACTGCTGGAAAAAAAAAAAAAAAAAAAAGGGGGCAGAAACTGACGAAATAAAAAAAAAGGGACAAACTGACGGAATAATAAAAAAAAGGGACGGAAACTGACAGAATAAAAAAAAAAAAAGAGACAGAAACTGACGGAATAAAAAAAAAAAAAAGGGACAGAAACTGACGGAATAAAAAAAAAAAAGAGACAGAAACTGACGGAATAAAAAAAAAAAGACAGAAACTTACGGAATAAAAAAAAAAAAAAAAAGACAGAAACTGACGGAATAAAAAAAAGAGAGAGACAGAAACTGACGGAATAAAAAAAAGAGACAGAAACTGACGGAATAAAAAAAAGAGACAGAAACTGACGGAATAAAAAAAAAAAGAGACAGAAACAGACAGAATAAAAAAAAAAGAGACAGAAACTGACGGAATAAAAAAAAAAAAAGAGACAGAAACTGACGGAATAAAAAAAAAAGAGAGACAGAAACTGACGGAATAAAAAAAAAAAAGGGACAGAAACTGACGAAATAAAAAAAAAAGAGACAGAAACTGACGGAATAAAAAAAAAAAAAAAAAGACAGAAACTGACGGAATAAAAAAAAAAGAGACAGAAACTGACGGAATAAAAAAAAAAAAAGAGACAGAAACTGACGGAATAAAAAAAAAAAAGAGACAGAAACTGACGGAATAAAAAAAAAAAAAAGGGACAAAAACTGACGGAATAAAAAAAAAAGAGACAGAAACTGACGGAATAAAAAAAAAAGAGACAGAAACTGACGGAATAAAAAAAAAAAAAGACAGAAACTGACGGAATAAAAAAAAAAAGGGACGGAAACTGATGGAATTAAAAAAAATGGATGTAAACGGATCTGTTTTTTCTTTGAAAAAATGAGACTGAACTGATGAGATAAAAAAAAAAAAAAAAAAATGCTTGAGTCAAAGGACCCTAAATTGGCTAGTCCATTTAACACTCCCATCCCCCTAGACTGACAATGCTGCAGTCCAAAGGTGCCCCCTATGCTCCTTCACTCAGAGCGGGGGTGCTCCAATACAGGAGGAGTGTTACTGGCCAGATCACCAGATCAAGGAGGAAAAAAAAAAAAAAAAAAAGACTAAAAAAGAAAACTAATGCAGCCACCACATCTACCTGTTAAGCTGCAATATGTGACATTTTTGGTTTGGGGCTGACCACTCTAGGCGCCTGTGCTCTGTATACAGACCCTCGTCTGCTCTCACGTACCGGTTTGGCAAAAAAGATGTTGGCGTACTCTGGATGTGTCATAATGTAGCTGGTGGTCGGCTCTTCTAAACGTTCCATCAGTAAAACAGAACACGAAGTTTTAAAGTTCGCCATCACCGTGCGTCTGCGTTCTGGAAGGAAAAAAAAAAAACAAAAAACAAACAAAAAAAAAAAAAACCACAAGGAAAGATGGTGAAAATACTAAAAACACTACCAGGCCACAATATTTCCACAGCTCTGAAAACAAACATCACCGCCTTCCCATGGATCCTATTCACTCATCTTGTGACGCATGAGGTGGGGGGTGCCTGAGATATAAAACATATAAAATCAGGGGTGTGGAAATTGTTTGAAAAAACTACTTATCATCCGGGGACTACATCAGGGCCCCAATCTACTTGTCCCGATATGAAAAAAAATAAAAAATAATATTTATCCAAAACCGTATTTAAATCTGAGGTGCTTTAACCACCTCCCATCCGGCTGTTGTATATAAACGGCCAGACGGTGGCAGTGCAGGGTCAGGTGGGTGTTTATAAACGGCCTCCCCGCCCCCTGCTTGTGCGCGCTCCCTGGGAGCGCGCAGCACCGCGATCCGGTGCCCGCTCTGTCCTCCGGACACAGAGGAACACCGATTGCTGTACGGGACCTCTGTGTGAGGTCCCGATCATGTGATCACTGATTGGCCAATCAGTGATCACATGCAGAGTAGTAAGCAAGATGTCACTTCTGACATCATTGCTTACTACGCGTGAAATCTGTGAATGATCACAGAGGTCACATGGTACAGGGCCATTCACAACAGCCTTGTACCATGTGACAAGCTGTGACCAATCACAGCGCACACAGTAGTTCTCAATGGCTTTATTTTGGTGGTATTTATTCACCGCTGGGATTTTTATTTTTTTTTGCTATGTAAATGAAAAGTCCAAAAATTTTGGAAAAAAAATAAAAAAAAAAATAAAAAAAAGTGTTTTTCTTATAAAATTTTGCAAATAAATAATATTTCATCATAAATCTCGGCCACAATTTATTCCGTTATCTTTTAAGTAAAAAAAATATAACCCAAATTAGTTTATAACCAAAAATTATAATTTTTAAACAATTTTTTTTTACATTTTTTATATTATATATAATTTTTTTTTTTTTTTTTAGATACGGTCACCCTAGCAGTAGTGTCACCATGGTTACACTGTACTACTTGTGGGGGGCGAAGATTTTTTTTTTTTTTTTTTTTTTAACTCTATTGCTTTTACACCCATAAAGGCTGTAAAATCATTTCTCCTTCTCTCTGGCTGCATTATTGCAGCCATTGAAAAATACTGTGTGAGCTGTGATTGGTCACAGCTTGTCACACGGTATAAGTCTGTTGTGAATAGCCCTGTACCATGTGATCTCTGTGATCATTCACAGATTTCACACGTAGTAAGCAATGATGTCAGAAGTGACATCTTGCTTACTACTCTGCATGTGATCACTGATTGGCCAATCGGTGATCACATGATCGGGACCTCGTACAGAGGTCCCGTCCGACGATCGGTGTTCCACTGTCTGGAGGACACAGCGGGCACCGGATCGCGGTGGTGCTGCGCACTCCCGGGGAGCGCACAGCTAGAAAATCTGGGTGCCGTTTATGAACAGCAGGCGGACAGCAAGTGGTTACATTTGTGGGCTCATTAAATGGCAACGAACTTTCATACCCCATATGTTCTATACGTGACGCTTTTAAAGCCCCTTATACGGTACGGAGGGGGTCCGATGTTAGGATTATCGCTCTTTCTGGCGTTTGCGGTGATATGTGACATCATACTTAGGCGCCCTAGTGCATGCTTTGACGTTTGTACGTGCGTATATATGCGGGGGGTGGTGGTCTCGGAAAAAGGGGGGGGGGGGGGGGGGGGGGTTATATGTTTGGATGTAACTCGCTTTTTATTTTTCTACTTGCCTTTTTTTTTTTTTTTTCCCACACCCCTGCATCACAATGAGTACCCAGTTTGTGTGCTACAGTGCCCTGTCAGCATCTAAAGCCATGATCTGCCTGCATTGCATAGAGAAGCACAGAGACCCAGTGATGTCATTGGGTCTAAAAGAAGGTATGAAATTAAACCGGGATTTATTTAAACATTTCATTAGCACGATGAAGGGAAAATGAGGAACCAGTGGGGGGGTTTACGTCCCTATCTTCTAGGTCAGGGGTCTCCAAACTTTCTAAACAAAGGGCCAGTTTACGGTCCTTTCAGGGGGGCCGGAATGTGATCAGCAGCAGAATATATCCTGGTGGCTGTGGGAGCAAACAATGCCCCGTGTTTGATATTAAAAAGGGAGCAATAGCGCCCCACCCTTGGAGTCAGTGGGAGGAATAGTGCCCCATCATTGGTGTCAGTGGGAGGAATAGTGCCCCATCATTGGTGTCAGTGGGAGGAATAGCGCCCCATCATTGGTGTCAGTGGGAGGAATAGCGCCCCATCATTGGTGTCAGTGGGAGGAATAGCGCCCCATCATTGGTGTCAGTGGGAGGAATAGCGCCCCATCATTGGTGTCAGTGGGAGGAATAGCGCCCCATCATTGGTGTCAGTGGGAGGAATAGCGCCCCATCATTGGTGTCAGTGGGAGGAATAGCGCCCCATCATTGGTGTCAGTGGGAGGAATAGCGCCCCATCATTGGTGTCAGTGGGAGGAATAGCGCCCCATCATTGGTGTCAGTGGGAGGAATAGCGCCCCATCATTGGTGTCAGTGGGAGGAATAGTGCCCCATCATTGGTATCAGTGGGAGGAATAGTGCCCCATCATTGGTGTCAGTGGGAGGAATAGTGCCCCATCATTGGTGTCAGTGGGAGGAATAGCGCCCCATCATTGGTATCAGTGGGAGGAATAGCGCCCCATCATTGGTGTCAGTGGGAGGAATAGTGCCCCATCATTGGTGTCAGTGGGAGGAGTAGTGCCCCATCATTGGTGTCAGTGGGAGGAGTAGTGCCCCATCATTGGTGTCAGTGGGAGGAATAGTGCCCCATCATTGGTGTCAGTGGGAGGAGTAGTGCCCCATCATTGGTGTCAGTGGGAGGAATAGTGCCCCATCATTGGTATCAGTAAGAGGAATAGTGCCCCATCATTGGTGTCAGTGGGAGGAATAGTGTCCCATCATTGGTGTCAGTGGGAGGAATAGTGCCCCATCATTGGTATCAGTGGGAGGAATAGTGCCCCATCATTGGTGTCAGTGGGAGGAGTAGTGCCCCATCATTGGTGTCAGTGGGAGGAGTAGTGCCCCATCATTGGTGTCAGTGGGAGGAGTAGTGCCCCATCATTGGTGTCAGTGGGAGGAGTAGTGCCCCATCATTGGTGTCAGTGGGAGGAGTAGTGCCCCATCATTGGTGTCAGTGGGAGGAGTAGTGCCCCATCATTGGTATCAGTGGGAGGAATAGTGCCCCATCATTGGTATCAGTTGGAGGAATAGTGTCCCATCATTGGTGTCAGTGGGAGGAATAGTGCCCCATCATTGGTATCAGTGGGAGGAATAGTGCCCCATCATTGGTGTCAGTGGGAGGAATAGTGCCCCATCATTGGTGTCAGTGGGAGGAGTAGTGCCCCATCATTGGTGTCAGTGGGAGGAATAGTGCCCCATCATTGGTGTCAGTGGGAGTAGTGCCCCATCATTGGTGTCAGTGGGAAGAATAGTGCCCCATCATTGGTATCAGTAAGAGGAATAGTGCCCCATCATTGGTGTCAGTGGGAGGAATAGTGCCCCATCATTGGTGTCAGTGGGAGGAGTAGTGCCCCATCATTGGTGTCAGTGGGAGGAGTAGTGCCCCATCATTGGTGTCAGTGGGAGGAATAGTGCCCCATCATTGGTGTCAGTGGGAGAAGTAGTGACCCATCATTGGTGTCAGTGGGAGGAATAGTGCCCCATCATTGGTATCAGTGGGAGGAATAGTGCCCCATCATTGGTGTCAGTGGGAGGAATAGTGCCCCATCATTGGTGTCAGTGGGAGGAATAGTGCCCCATCATTGGTGTCAGTGGGAGGAATAGTGCCCCATCATTGGTGTCAGTGGGGGGAATAGTGCCCCATCATTGGTGTCAGTGGGGGGGAATAGTGTCCCATCATTGGTGTCAGTGGGAGGAATAGCGCCCCATCATTGGTGTCAGTGGGAGGAATAGCGCCCCATCATTGGTGTCAGTGGGAGGAGTAGCGCCCCATCATTGGTGTCAGTGGGAGGAATAGTGCCCCATCATTGGTGTCAGTGGGAGGAATAGCGCCCCATCATTGGTGTCAGTGGGAGGAATAGTGCCCCATCATTGGTGTCAGTGGGAGGAATAGTGCCCCATCATTGGTGTCAGTGGGAGGATTAGTGCCCCATCATTGGTGTCAGTGGGAGGAATAGTGCCCCATCATTGGTGTCAGTGGGAGGAATAGCGCCCCATCATTGGTGTCAGTGGGAGGAATAGTGCCCCATCATTGGTGTCAGTGGGAGGAATAGTGCCCCATCATTGGTGTCAGTGGGAGGAATAATGCCCCATCATTGGTGTCAGTGGGAGGAATAGTGCCCCATCATTGGTGTCAGTGGGAGGAATAGTGCCCCATCATTGGTGTCGGACGACGTAAACAATGTCCCATGTTTGATATTAAAGTGGGAACAGCGGCCCCCACCCTTGGCGGCAGCGGGAGGCACAGCGGCCCCACCCTTGGCGGCGGTGGAACTATGCCCCAAGGGCAGTATAAAAGCAAGCACAGGGCCACAGTTTGGAGACCCCCTTGCTGTAGGCTGTCAAAAAAATAAATAAGGACCAGAGGAGGTTTGCCCTCATCCATTCACAGAAAGCCTTGTACTCTGTGAATAGAAGACATTCAGCAAACACCCGAAGGGGGAGGAGGGAATGAACTATTCTTCAATGTATGAGCACCAGTAGATTTTGCTAGCATACCCAGCAGCCACCTGGAGGAGGACAAGCAGCTATACTGACAGGTCAGCAGGAGGCCTGCATGACACCACAGATCTGCTGATGGCGGGTGCAATGCTTTCCAGGCTCCTGCAACAAAAAATTATTTTTTTTTTACCTGCAATTTAATATTTTTGGTCACAAGGTGAACTCATCCTTTACATTTCCCAACGTTTTGGTTACTTTGATGAGAATAACATTCAGATGTCCTGCCGGGTGTTCAGGTCCAACCAGGGCCCTGCGGCATACGCATGTGTGAAGACCCAACCCCCACCATGTCTACAAGGGGCCCTTCCCCCCACCCGTTCAGTGTGTTTGCCTCCAATGGTTCCTCATTTTCCCCTTCATCACGCTAACAAAATGTTTAACTAAAACCCAGTTCAAGGCCCAATGCCATCACTGGGTCTCTGTGCTTTTCTATGCAAGGCAGGCAGATCTTGGCTGGTGGGAGGGTCATAAAGGGTGCTGCATTTCTGGTGGCTAAAAATATTACCAAGGGAGAGATATCCCCGCAGCGCCACGATGGCCTCCCTGCGGATTTCTTTCCGGGTCTTGGTGGTCTTCTTTTGCCTCAGCGCCTCGATGGTGAGGGGGGCGTGGGTATTCGGGGAGAACAATTCATACGGAGTTTCATTGGACGTCATCGTCAGGCCGAGGACCTGGACACTCCCATACAGACACGTCACCAAGCATTTCCCTGTG